TAGCTTCTGTAGTAGAAACAAGTATCAGTTAGGCTACGTTCACACTGCAGGTCTTAATGCTCAATTCCGATTTTTTGATCAAATCTGATTTTTTTGTCTTCTTGTTCACACTACAAATAAAATGTGACAGCAAACGCGCTCTAGTGTGAACGCTCAAAGCGGCCCGCGTGCGCAAAAGAAGACGTCACACACAACGCGGTCTGTTTAGACCCAGAGCAAACAGTATTGTTTGACTGATGGCCCTTAATGTAAAGACTTGTTTCCGGCTTTACGTTTGCCAATTTTGCTTGAAGTTATAAAGTTATTTTGTTATTTACATTTGGCCTAATAATGATCCTTATCGCTGTTTTAGAGAAGAGCGGTGCTTCAAAGGATAGTTGCAGATTTCTGTCAGAATCTGCAGATTATACATTACAAATAAAATGTTCACGTTTCTCCAACGTTGTCTTCCCAACAGTTTCACTGACCTCTACACTGGATGGCCAGGAAGCGTTCACGATGTCTTCTCTGGCGTCTTGTGTCAGTGACGTAAAAGACGGATTTAATGCGACATGACCATCAAACAGCAGTCGCTTTCTAAAACATCAGATATGTATCGGATTCAGCACCACATACGAGAGTGACCCAGATCGGATTTGAAAATTTCGGATTTGTGCTGTTCACACTGTCACACCATGATCGGATATGGGTCGCATAGGGTCAAAAAAGTCGCATTTGATGCGCTTTCGCCTAAAGTGTGAACGTAGCCTTAGAACAAAGAGCCATGCTTTGTTGCATTGTACTGTATTACTGTGTAATAACATACAGTAAATCATAAACATGCTTTGTATTATATTGCACAGAACCTAATGTGGTGCATATGATGTTTCTTTGTATTTGTGTGTAGCTCGACCCATATATGGATGAGAACTTCATCAAACAGGCCTTTAGTGCTATGGGAGAGTCTCCATTTGGGGTCAAGATCATCACTCACAGGATAACAGGGTAGGATATATGCATCAGCCTAAATGTATATGTATTAACTCCGCTAGACCACTGAAGTTCTGCTGTGGTATCTGCACCAAGATGTTACCAACAGATCCTTTAGATGATGGAGGCCACACCTCACAACTTGCAGAACTTAGACTTGTTTGTCCAGCACATCCCACAGATGCTTGATTGGATTGACATCTGGGGAATTTGGGAGCCAAGTGAACACCTCAAATTCATTGCTGTGTTCCTGTTATCAGGGCGCATTATCCTCCTGAAATAGCCACACAGCCATCAGGAAAAAGAGTTACCATGAAAGGTTGCACACGGTCTGCAGCACTCATTAGATAGGCGGCAAGTGTCAAAGAGACATTCACATGGATGGCAGGACCCAAAGTTTCCCCGAAGAATATCGCACAAAGCATTACCGGTACTCCACTCTCTCAATTTCTAAGCGTTGCCCATTTCTCCTGCTTGTAACACATCAACTTTGAGGACAAAATGTTCAGTGGCTCCCTAATATATCACCCACCAACAGGTGCCATGATGAAAAGATAATGAGTGCTATTCACTTCATATGTTAGTGGTCATAATGTTATGCCTGATCTGTCTGCGTTTTTTTCCCGCCTCTTTCTCGTTCAACACTAAAAGTAGCTACCGGTTCTGTTCTCTTGTGCAGCGGTTCAGCAGGATACTGCTTTGTGGAGCTGGCAGATGAAGCGAGTGTGGAGCGGTGTGTCCAGAGACTCAACGGGAAACTGGTTCCTGGATCAAACCCGGTCAGTTCTGTAGTGCAGTTGATATTTACTCACATATATTATTCATCATTATTATTTCATCATAAATACAAAAATATTGTTGACATGTAATACCGCCTTCCTTTTTCAGTAGAATTATCAAACAGTACTTAACTGTTGATCTGTGGATAGTGGAGCTCAACTAGTCTTGGTCCTGCTTTGTTAGGACAGAAACACAGTGTTAGGTGCTTAGGAGTCAGTTTAACATCCTGTTGTTATTGTCTCTGTGAACACACCAGATTTTTGTTGCTCTTAGTGCTGTCACTGTGAGGATTTCCCTGTCAGTTTAAACCAGTTTTATCAAGAAGCAAAACTAGTTAAACATCATGTTAAGTGCAGCTGTCTCATACTAACTGCAGAGACGGCTGGTCCAGTTAAGTCTGGTGATGCAAGACAAAAAAAGGCATCCCATCTTTCAAATTTCAGTTCCAAGTGGTTTGGGAAGTTGTGAGCTTTAGCTGCTTGCTCCTTGGTTTGAAATGCTTTTGGCCCCGTGGGCTGGCCAAGCTACTGGGCTCCCCTGTTCACTGGGCTGTATCTGCTGCTGAAGGTGGCTAAGAGGCTTGTACATGAATGTACTTTGTTTGAAGCTGGTGAATAGAGTCTCTGGTAGGAACTAACTGAGGAATGGGCTAAAGGCTGGTCTGGGTGGTGGAGGTATGTAAACCCAAATAACAACCATAGTAACTCCACTTTTTATTTCCAGCAATATCAGTGCTATACTACATGTCTTTGGTGTGTCTGCCTAGCTTAGTGTGTGTTCTTTCTCTTCCTTTGTGCAGCCCCGGAAGTTTAAGCTAAACTATGCCACCTATGGGAAACGGCCAGAAGCAGGGTAAGGCTTTACTTCCATTCAGTCTTTGTTTGCTACATAACTCCAAACTTTTGGAGGCAGTTTTCTGTAGAATTTAGTTCCTCCAGCTAACTTGTCTAGCTGGAGGAAGAGACGGCACAGAAAAGAGGAACGAAAACAACGGACGGCAATCGGGGCAAAAAATAAATGAGAACAGAGAGAAGATAGACGTTAATGACATGCAGCAGTGGCATACAGGTCCATACATTTTTGGACAATAACAGTTTTCTATTGATTTATTTTGTTTTACCCTCAGCCATAAAAGGCTGCTGGGGTGTTGCCATCACCTTGCCAGGTGGGTGGGCGGGCAACATGGGCCACCCACCCTGAGAACGAAGGTAGGAGTTTCAAATTAAGGCCTCTGACCTTGACCTTGAGGTCAAAAAATCTGGTGAATGCAATAACTCAAGAAGGAAGTCATCTAGGATTTAAAAATTGATACTATAGGTATATAGTAAAATGGTTGTAATTCATAAGCGATTAACACAACACTTCACTTGAACACCTCGAATTAAAGCTGAAAGCCTCCATGTCAATCACATTTTGATTGCTTAATTTAAAATCCACTGTGGTGATGTGTAGAAGCAACGTGACAAAAAAAATGTTGTCCATAAACTTCTGGCCCTCATTGTATAAACAGTGAAAGCTGAGGGTGACATGCATCATGGGAGGGGGTCCAGATTGTATTATAGGTAGGAAATGGGCAATTTTCTGATCTAAAACTGAACAAAGTTGTTCCGTAAATTATCCAGCTTCCAGTACACTTCCTGTTTAAATACGAAGGATAACTTTCATAACAGTCCTTATTAAGTGGGATGTGGGCTAAAGCAGTCAACCTATCAGTCTATCATACTGAGTAAGAATATTTGATCTTGCTTCTCTCAGGCCAGAGTTCTCAGTTTTCGTGGGCGACTTGGCTTCTGAGATAGATGACTTCCAGCTGCATCAAGTTTTTAAGAAGTACCCTTCATGCAAAGGAGCCAAAGTAGTCACCGACCAGTATGGATACTCAAGGTACGTCAGCTCATTGAGGTGCACGTGACAGCAGCAGCAGTATTATTCTGTTTGACTGTGAATTTTGTATTTCTTCCTATAGTATGATGTATTGCCTTCTTGTATGAATGTTGTAAGAGTATACTGTAATATTTTTTTTCTGTTTTCTGTGCTATAATAATGATTTGGATAGCAGTGCTATGGACGTTGACCATCAGTGCATCTTCATCTATTTTCGGAAAAAAAAAAGGCTGAAGAAATGTTTTCTTGCCGTCTTAATGCTAAAACTATTGTTTTCCCCATATAGGCTAAGCAAGAGCAACTCACAATTCAAGTGATGCTACCTCATGTTAAAAGTAAAACAACAAGTTTCAGTTCTACCATAATAATACCCATTATATTCTGTTTCTCATTATAAGTGGCTATTAAATGCCAAGTATGGAGTGTGCGTTGGCGGTGCAAAGGAGGCGTAACTGTTCTCTGACTTGCAGAGGCTATGGCTTTGTCAAGTTTGGAGAGGAGAGCGAGCAGAAGAAGGCGATCGAGGAGTGCCAGGGTACAATGCTGGGAGGAAAGCCACTCAGGCTCAGTATTGCTGTTGCAAAGAGGTAAGACCCAGACAAGGATAAGAGAGAATAGAATAGAGAAAGTGCCAAAGAAAATAGGACAGAGGAATTTGGATTCACCTGAACTCAGTTTTATTTACTTGGCGCCAAACCACAACAAAAATCACCACAAGTGATTGTATATTGGTAGGCAAAGATTCTACAATAATGGAGAGGAACACCCCAACATTCATGTGATGGCCTATGAGCAAGCACTTGATGATGGAAAGGAAAAAAAACCTTTTTAACAGGAAGGAGGAAGGAGAACTCTGGCAGAACCAAGCTCAGGGAGGGCCATCTACTACAGTCGGTTAGACTGAGAGGACAGAGAAAAGCAGTGGGAGGTGGGATAAAAAGCACTCTGAATAAGAGAGTCAGAGTTGAATAATGACCAATTGTTAAATGCAGAGTGCTTTATAACCATCGAGGGAAAAGAGGTGAGTGACCAGAGCCTAGGATGATTGTAGCACAGGGTCAGTGCTGGTGAAGGCTTCACTGAGGGCTAGCAAGACAAGAGAAAGAGAAACCTGGGGTTTTTATTATTATCAGGTCTTATTTGATAGTCTTTTAGTAACCAAAAGACTGAACTAAAATTCACACTTTAAAATTCAATCTGCCTCAAAGTCAGCCTGACTGGAAAAATACAGTCATGTAAAATGAAAGTAGACCCTCTTTCAATTTCAAGATTTAGGACATAATAACATAATAGCAAGTCTTAAAATGAGTAAATGCAACCTGAGATGACCAACAATATATTATACTCTCATAATTTACAAAGAACTATGATAATAATCAAATAGATGTAGTTAAGTGTGACCACCTCTGTAAAAGCAGATGTTTTGGCAGTTTGCTGGTCTGGAGAGTTCATGTGTGTTTTAACACAAAGCTAAGAAGGTCTTAGGGAAGCAGTTATTGTTGCGCATCAGTCTGGGAAAGGTTAGAAGGCCACTTCAAAACATTCTGAAGTCAGTCATTCTCCAGTGACAAAGATTATTCACAAGTTTAAAATATTCAAGACATCTTCCCAGGAGGGGACCAGTCAAAGTCCAGACCTGCGTTTTGGCTCTGTTTTTGCTAACTGACATGATGCAGTATGCCATGTGTTACTGGTTTGATGTAGTGTTTACCTAAACTTTAACATCTGCTAAGGACCCAGTTAGGTTTATTATATAGATATCCAAAAGCTTACTTAGGTGTACTTTCTACCATTACCGTATGACTGATTTATATTTGATTTGTCCGTAACAAAAGTATAGTCCAGTTTACTGTTTCAGCATATGTCTACACCTTTAAATCCATCCAGGCTCCTCTGAGACATGTTCATTCATGAAGATCTTTCATCAGATAACCTTCAAACAAACCAAAAATTGTTCTTTTTGTTGTTTTACAGCCAGAAGATGAGCAGCTACCACGGGGGCCAGGGCCAGAATTACCAGAGCAACTACAACCAGACTCAGTCTGGTTACTATGGCAGCCATAGTGGTGGAAGCCAGGGTTACTATTCTCAGTGGGGGGGCTACGACCAGTATGGTGGCTACAACAGTACCGGCTACAACAGCGGCTATGGCAGCGGCTACAACAGTGGCTACAACTACGGTTACGGAGCCTATGGATACCCACCACCAGGTCACATGATGCCACCACCTCCCATGGGGATGCCACCAATGTCCACAGACATGTCAGGAGCCGTAGAGGTAAGGGGAACACTTTCACACCAGTGCTTAAAGGAACCCTGACATTTCAGGAAGTTAGCAAAGCTTAGCAAAATGACTTTTGGCGTGAGAAACTGCTAACCTTTGCTAAAGAACAATCAGCTTCCTTCCAAAAGTTTAAGATTCTCATTTACATCATTTATCATGTTATATAGAATGCTCACAAGTAATTCATCCAAATACCAGCTCAGCTCTCTTTACCCAGAATGGGCCAATTGAACAAAGCAGCTTCAGTGTAGACAGGACAAGTGACACTGCTGAGTTAACGGACTACAAAGTGTACAGACGTGAAACTGTTGATCTTTCACTGCCAAGTGAAAATGTTCACTGAAACATGTTCACTGTAAACACCCAGTACACACAGCACAGCTGACACATTGTCCATGTTTATATTGTGTTAATTAGTGCCATGTATTATCACATCCAGGCAGTTTTCAGATTTATTTCCATGTTTGAGAAAGTAGTTCTAATCCCTGATGTCATTCTGCAGCAGAGCCATGTGGAGGCTGAAGACATAGATGAGGATAATGCAGAAGGTAAGGCTGAGTCACATAACATTAGGGGAAAAAATCTATCCAGAGAAATGTCGGAGACACTCACAGAGTGGGGATTTGCATTGTTGTTTCTTTTTTCTAGAGCCCATTCCCGAGTGTGACGTCGACCTGTGGAACAAAGATTTCATGCAGCGCAGTGAGGAGCTCTATGATGCCATGATGAATTGTCACTGGGAGGCTCTGGACTCTGTTGACTCCCCCATCCCCTCATTCTCTTGATAATGTCCCCCACCCCCCCTGAAATTTTTCATTTTTAAAAAACGTTTTTGGTTTTTTTATCCCCAAAATCTTAACAACACACTGACACCTTCTAGTGGCCAGCTTTCATTTCCTGTGTCAGTTCTCACTAGGACTGATAATACAAACACGTTCCTCTTTAAACACCTAAAATATTCACAGACTTGGCTGTAACAGTTAGCATGTTAGCAACAAACAGCAGGTCAGTCATTATTCAGTGAAGCTGCTCTGTAGTTTATACCATCTGAGGTGCTGCAGCTGACCAGCGCTCAGAAGCTGTAGTACTGCAGACTTGAGTGTCATCCACCACCACTGAATTATGCCACTGAGGAACCAACTGTAGTTATTTGGTGATGGAATGACCAGCAGATGCACATTCAGCAACGTTGAGATTGACATCTGCAAACAAAAATGAAAACCATGCCTTTATTGTCTTTTGTCATGTACTTCCTGTGAGTCCAGGATGATCATTAGAATTGCTTTGTACATACACAGCATCGATCCTTCTCATCTTTTTTTTTTTTTTTTTTTTTTTTAAATGAAGGAATTCCTGTCTTTTAGAAAAATTTCTGATAGATTATTGAACTCGTTTAGGAAGAGTTGAAAACTGAGTTTACACCCTACAGAAAAACACATCAATTGGAAACGTTATCTGTTTTTCAAACAAGAAGCTCACAATCTTTCTATGTGCTAGATGAACGAGACAAACTCCCAACATGTTCGAGTGCTGTGAAAACTGTGAGGACTTTAACGGCTGATTTGATGTCAGACTTCGAGGCAGCCATCAACTGCTCTTTGATGGCTGAAGTTTTGTATATATTTTCTTTCTGGAGATGTTTTATCAATAAAATGAATTAAGGTGGAAAAATGTCTCTTGAGTTTGTCTTTACAGCCAATACTGGAAGGAAAGTATTAAAATATACAGCAATAATAAAAATGCTGTTATAAGTTAAGAAAACATTCAGTTGTCTTCTTAAACTATTTATTGTATACAGAAGATGGGCGAAGAAACATCGATATTAAGTCATAATGTTACCAATATGGCTACAGTAGTGTTGGTAACCGTATTTGGACTAGAGGGTGGTGTGATAAGTCATCAATAAATAGTAGTTTGCTGAGTTGCTACATCCATGAACTGTATAGGTGCATTTTGTTCTTGAAAAGCATAATATAAATAAATCTTACATATGTCAGGACACCTGTGAGTCACACAAGGTGGGCCAGTTAGAAAAAAGTAGAAAAGAAATGTACCCTCTGTACAAGGAAGGAAACTTAACTAGAGGAATATAAGAGTTGGCTCCTGAGGTTGCCATTTGTTTTGGATCCACAGTTGGAGGCCTCAGTCGCCTTAATCTCTCTCTTCTGTCTTGTTTTTTGACCCAGTATTAACCATTTTTGAAGGGCTAATTGCGAAATTATCAGCGAGCAAGTGTAAGAATTTTACACACCTCTAACAATGAATAGGGGTGAATCCTAAGCCTTAGTATAATTTTAAACAGATACATATGTACATATACATAAACCTACAAAGAGCAGTAAACATCAGAGCAGGTGATTACAGCCTGTACACAAAGAAAATCTACTGGCACTCTGAATAAAAATTGTGACTTCTTTATCCACCCTGCACCACTATGCAGAGTGGAGCAGTTTATTTGGGCTGGCCTGTTAGAGCAGAGTGAAGCAGAAACCGGTTACACCCTAAGGGCCAAGGCCTGATCACCAGATTCTTTCCCCGGAGCTCTCTCCCAAGGCGTACGGAGCCCCGTAACCCTATTCCCGACAATGCTTTGTGCCATCGTTTTTTGTTCACCTGCCTGATTCCTTTGGCTTTGGTTATACTGAGCTTTGACTTTAAATTGCCTCACGTGAGCTTGTTTTAACCTCCAACAGTCCGAATGTTGTATTTAAGCCTTTACACCAAGTCAAGTTATTTTGACAGTTCTTTCCCTTTTTCACTCCCATCAAAGACTATTAAATATATTTTAGATAAAGTGATCATGCATTAGCACAAGTTAAAATCAAATAGAAGTTATATCTATTAAATGAGCATAAGATAAAAAAAACTGTCAGCAGGAGAAATAAAGTCATGGAATTCGGAACTATGAACTCTCACTAACAGCCAGATGTTAGTGAGACTAGACTTTCTTCCAGTGAAAAACATTCCCTGTAAAAATGGCTTGGTTTAAAGTTTGCTTGGTCATCTGGTCAGATTTACTGCTACTGTTCATGTTTATACTATTCTACTTGTTAAAAATAACAAACAAGTAGCCTACAAATACTTTGTTCCTCTACTTAAGTAGAATTTTCAGGTATCTGTACTTCATTTGAGTATTCATTTTTTTCATTTTTAAAAAAAATTCTTTACACTTTTACTCCCTACATTTTAACACAAATATCTATACTACCTACTCCTTACGTCTTCAAAACAGGCTCATTACTTTAGGTTCAACTGTATCATTTATAGCGATTATACTATTATTAAAGTATAAAAGTGGCCGACACCAGTGATATTGTAGTCAGGAACTAGCTTGCGCTAAAGAGAAATGAGCACAAAGAGTGTAACATTTCTACACAACATAATTTTTCTACAACATTTCTATCAGCTCAACAAACATCACCAAAAACACAGACTGGAATTTACCATGTTTCACTGAGCAGTTCTTACCCTTACACATAACCTCTCGTCTTCCTCTCTTGTCCTTTCTTTTCTTACATCTTTCTCCCTCTGTGAGTGAAGTTAACGCTCTTTCTTTTATCTCCCCAAAAAGAAAAAAAAACGTCAGCTGGAGCTTTGTCTAGCGACACATTCTGTAACAAACTGCACACAAAAATAAGATTCAAAGGTTATCTGTGATTTTATCATTTTGAATCCCATATTTTATCAGTATATGATGTATTTTGATAAAATATTTATTTTTTATACTGTGAAATGTCCTGAAAAACAAAATATACAAAACAGTATATATGACATCAAGGACCCATGGCACACAGCTTTGCAGGTACTTTATGTTTGTTTATGATATTTCCACGCGTGGTCTCACAGCCTGGTTTTTTAACTTTAAACCCCAAAGTAGCCCCTACAGCATCTGACAAAGCGTGGGGACAAGAACAAGAAGAACTGGAGCAAATGGTACTACTGTACCATGCACTAATTATGTGTTCATCAAATGTTTCATGAACATTCAGGGTAGTTATGTGCAGGATAAACAGGTTAGCTTGCACCAATCTGGTGAATTTACAGTAGAACACTGTGTTAGCCTGATACTCAGTGGCTGTAGTTGTCAGTGTTAGGTTACATATAGTGAGATGATGGATTTGCATTTAAGCTGATGATGCTTAGATTCATTCACTGAATGAATTCATCCACCTGTCTAGTATAAAGGCAACATCCAGTATACTGTTAGTGTAAGAAATGAAACTCCACCGAGATGGCATGTTGAAGTCAGTCGTTTAAATCCACAAAGAGCAGCAGCTAAGCTGATCACAATTTGTCTGCTAAGAAAATCTACTCAAGCTTACATTCGAAATTATTGTGAGTGTTAGCATTTAACCCCACGTTGAGCCAGTACAACAGATCTTAGTGTTCCCCCACTTGCCAAATCTCACTTTACATTCTTTAAAAGAAAAAAATATTTTACTTATTGTGTCCTAAACAACAGATTCAAGCTGGGTGCATTCATTAGAATTTAGATTTGACTAATATGTGTATTCTCATGTACTAATATCATTTTAATATTATATTAATATAGCGGCAGGTCCAGTTATCTATGCATAAAAATGGTTAGTAGAATTGTCCTTCAAGGAGCTGCTTTTCACTTTCTTTTTCTCTTGTACTTGAGTAAAGAAGTTTAATCACTACTCTTCAACTTTTACTGGAGTATTTTTTTAATGCAACTATTGTACGGTTACATTGTAACATCTCTGAGTGAGAGACTATCTCTCCACTTCATTACATATTCCATATGTACGGGGTGTAACGCCACGGCCAATGTGGGTCATACCCCGTACATATGGAATATGTAACAGAGTGCAGAGATAGTCTCGCTATGATAAAGAACTGCACTTCTGCTTTAGAACAGAATGTCTATATTTTGCCACCTCTGGCTACAAGTGACAGGACTGTAGCTTTTGGCACTTCTTCATTGCCTTGAAGTCCACAGCAAAAAATCTGGACAAAACAGAAAGTGAGCAAACTCGACCAAATTAATGTCTCTGTAAATCTGCTTCTGTGTTCTCCATTTGTCTTTCCAGTGCTGGGTTGATTTGGCTGTCACACAATTCTAGCTTTCAAAGGAAGAGCAGATGTGAATCATCGGTTGTATGTAACAGAAAAGGTAAACAAACATATTTGACATGAAAGAATTAAGAGGTCTGATAACCCACACTGTACATCTGTTTGTTTGGAATTCAATTTATTTTACAGTTAGTTCTCAAATGTTTGTTTCTTTGTTTTTTAAGTTAATTGCAGTGATCGTGATTTGGTTGTTTCAGTTGCGCATCCTCCACGTCATTACCGACAGCCTTTATGTTAAGTAGTCCCAAACCAGGCCTCCCGGGGCAGTACCAGCTGGGCCCCAGGCGGTACCAGCCCTGATATAGTCCTCTCCAGCTGAGACAGCCAAGAGCACCCCCCAGCAGCTGGGTGGGGAACTGAGGAAAGTAAGCTAAGAGACAGAGCAACAAGAAGATCCAGAGCCAGAGCAGAAGAACACAGAACAGAAAGAGGATTCTCAGTGGGGCATCTGAGATTCCCCCAAGGCTCAAATAAGGTCCAAACACAGCTGTTTCCTCTACCAGCAGCAGGCAGCAAAGGCAGAGAAGGAAAATGTCTTCAGAAACCTCATATCCCCTCCACAGCATTCCAGCTTTCAGACACTCAGACTTGCTCTCCCCCTCTCGCAGCACCAGCAGAGTCTGGCCATTTGTGACCACTGTTCCAGCTTCTAAAGGTTCATAGCAGCTTCCTGTGGCATTCTCCAGGAGGTCCAAGAGTTTGCAAAAACCAAGCCATAGTCCACCGGCCACCGCAAGCCGTGAGAGGTGGCGGATGGAGAGAGACAGGGAACGGCGGACGGAAAAGGAGAGGAGGAAAACAAAAGAGCCAACAAAGATGCAGGTCCAACCCCAACCAGAGTGCAAGAACATCCTGGAAGAAGGAGAACAGAGATGAGAGCAGTGGAGATAGGACGTGATGGAAGAAGAAATTATATCGACTGAATATGAAATATTAAATATCAGGACAGAACAAAGTTGACAGGAAGTGTAACAGGAAGCAGTCTCACCTGTAGAGGAAGTGATTCTTCTTGGCAAAGATGCTGTGGTGAGACACCCAAAGACTCAGCATGGGACCGAACATCACCAGTGCTGACAACAACAGGTGGAAGTGCCGCCGGAACAAGGTGGTACCCATAAACCTGGCTGCCAGGTCTGTCAGGACTACAAGGACTGTGCTGAGGAACATTTGGACCAAAATGCTGACTGAATTTCAAATAATATACAAAAGCCACCTGCTGCTCGCTGTGTCTGTGCAGATTA